TAGAAATTTTCGTAAACGCAAAATATATTCATTTTGACGTACTAAGGTCTTTGGTGGAATTTTGTCTCATTGGCATTAATATCAAACATTTTAATTTCTAATATAACTAATTGCTGATTACTTTCCAGCGACAAAGTTCAAACGATTATTAATGTACATGTATCACCATGCACCATGAAAATTTTTTTTTCTCAATGAGCACTTACTAAGGATAAGGAGATACATATTTGGACCAATTAAAATCGCGATAACGGAAATGTTTTGTGATTTTCACTAATAGTTAGGAATACTTGGGACAATCTTGTTGTATGTTGTTAAACATTAGTTATACCTAGTTCAATCTCCGTCCCAAGTTATAAGAATATTTTATTTCATACGAACGAAAATTTGAAAAAAAATGAGTGCAGGAATCTTATTGAAACTTCTCTCCTCCTTTTTTTTAAAAGCATCACGAAATAAAAGTTTTAAAGTTCAACAACCGAAAAGGTGATTCCTGAAAACTGATAGCATACTTCGTATACACAATAAATCATCTGACGAGTAAGTGTGAATAAAAGAAATACAATTAAACTTATATACATATATATTTAAACAAAGACACAACTATAGGAGACAAAATCGTGAGAATGTTTTATCTATGTACAATCATTTAAATTTAATATTAGATTACTTATTCAGGAAGAGGGTGAATTAGCATTAATCCTTGCTCATCTCTGTCATGGCCCGTTAACTCACGTTTTCATGCATAAACAGTAATTTTGTATTTAAAATGAACAAATTCTCCAATAAAATTTTGTTTCATTTCAGATTAGTTAAAGATATTAGGTAACAGAAGCACATGTGAAATAAATCATGAATTTTATCACGCGATACATGCGATTTCACTCTGTATAAAAATAGGTATGATTGCCAGTGAGACAACTATCAACTAGAAACCAAATAACGTAGATGTAAAGCCCTATAGGTCACCACATGGCCATCGGAAATGAGCTAAACTCATGTCATGAAGCTATAAAAGGCCTCGAAATGACAAAATATAAATTAATTCAAACGAGAAATGCAATGGCCTGGTTTACGTACAATACAATACACGAAAATCAAATATAGACAGATACCAATGACAGCCTTTTGAAAATTGGACAGGCACATACAGAAAAAGACGAGTTTTTTGTTGTGAGCTCTCAATCCTTCCCAAACCTGGGACCGTCGAGAAAAAAGCTTGACTCTTGACTGTATATGTTAAACGGGGTTTACGTTATTAACTGAACATGTGTTACTGCATTTCTATGCCAAATGAACTATTGAATAAGCAATGGCTAATTTGTATGATGTAAATAATACTTATATCAGTTAATGAACTTAGTTTATTTTAATTCCAAATGTGTAAAAGTAGCAATCAATTCAAAGAAACACGTAAAATATGGAGCTATACATGTTATTCTCATAGATAAAATTTTGTACTGTTATAATCGTTCTGGTAATGGCGATAATTTATTATTTATTGTGTAAAGATATATAATTATTGTTTTGTTCGTTTTTAATGACCATTAAATTTGTCACATGTAAAACACATGTTTTATATGCAAATTAATTTACCGCAACACCACCTATCTTATCTGGGAAAATTACACCTTGCGGCAAGGTGAAATTTACATTGACAATTCAGGTACTAAAATAACATCACCAGGAAATCTAGATCGTCGTTGATTCTTGACCCGGTCATTTGTATTTGTGTCAAATTGATCGGAAAATAGAAGATGAAAAAACTTAATTAATAGTTTTTTTGATTGATTGATGGTTGGTTTTTCAGGACGCATAGTATTAAGAGTTATTTAAAAAAATACTGACAATTGTATGGTTCAAGCGCTTGATGAATAATTTCGAAAGGTACAAAGTACGTACAGCTTTCCTTCTACCATGTCTAAACTACTACCTCTACCGATCAAAAAGCATATTTAATCCGTTTAGGGAAAAGATAAAATTTGGTATTGTTGTCCTTCAGACAACCATCCAATAAAGCTCCAGTGACGAATACAGTTGATGTCAAGTTACAATAAAGATACTGAAGTACAATTGAATGCATACATTAAGTTTTTAAATAAAATAAAAATGATGAAAATGATATTGGTAGATAAATGGAACAATCAAATTACAAAGTTACAAGCACCTAATCACTACTTCAATGACTGCCGTTCACTTACATAACACGAAGACCTTAAAAAGGTCACTTATAGCAGACATAAAAAATGCGTGATTCAAAAGAGATGTCAATGAGACAGCAAGCCTCCTACACAAATAACCAAAAGACATTTAGAGGACAAAATCAGTTTTCAACAATAGAGAGTTGTCTACACAATATGTCAAGCTCTAAGTAGTCCCGAGTTTTCAAAATGAGGCTCCTGGCTTGGGACAGGCACGTGTGTGAATGTGTTTGTGCTCTGAGGAATGACAACTTTTTCCTATTTTTAAGTACAATATTAAGACAATAACAAATGAGCCTCAAGGCAATATAACAAGGGTAACCATTAAGCCTATGGTCGTTTTGCGCATGTGCTTTGTCTGGTGAGCCACAGTAATATGCGCAGGATTTCTGAGGTGTGCGAGTCCAAATAAAGAAACACATAGACGTAGAAGTACTACACTAAGCTCCGTACATCTGAACTTTAAAATGATATTAACTATTTTCATATAACCTTTTCATCACGACGAGATTTAAAAGACATAATGATGACACACTGAACAATATGTATCATTGCCGTTTTTCTTCCTCCTAACGAGGATAACATGTTCCCTTTTCAAGATGTGTATCATACAAAGTATACCCATAAAACTCAAGAAATCGATAGTTAACTAAACCAGTTGATAATAGTTTTAGATGACTTTATTGGTAAAAGTAGCTATGATTATTTACAAATCTTTTGACATATTTCTCAAGGTTAGTAGGGGTGTATGTTTACTGCTATCGTACCTGTATCGTATATGCACAAGTATGTAAACTTGATGCAAGAATATTGCATTGTAATACACAGGTATTTACAAATTGATAGTTTCGAATTCAATAACAAAATGGTTGTTTCTCAGCCGTATCAAACGAGAGGCGAAAGATACCAAAGGGATATTCAAACTCATAAGTCGAAACAAACTGACAATGCCATGGAAAAAAACATAAAAACGATCGAAAGACAAACAACAGTATACAAAACACAACATAGAGCAAATATCTAATGATTAAGCCAAAGACAATGCTATTATCTAACCACCACTCATGATTCATGCATTATTGAAATATAGTAATAAGTTTATACATTAAGTCAAACAAAATCAAACAAAACCAAATTGCTGCCCCCCCCCCCCCCCCCAAATCACTTTCTGGACTATACTTAATCATTAGTACTCAAACGTTTGTACAGCCACAAGAGTATAGAAAGCTATAGAGTTGTACCCGTTCCTTCAAATCGAACATAAATGAATTACTGCCTACTCATCGCTTTCTTGACTTTTTTAATCATGTATACTCGAAACAAAATGTTCGGACTTAATGTACACAACTATAGAGGCCATTTCTTTCAAATAACTAGTTTTATGAACGTCTGGAGGGTATTTAAGTTATGTGTAAAAAATACCCCATCGTGTTAATCTCTTTAATCTAATTTCATATTATATTGCTCATATCAGTGCATTAAATATTACATCAAGTAATAGATGTGTTATGATTGCAAAATGAGACAACTTTACACCAGAGTCCATCGTTGGATTTTTTTACCTTTTAGTTTTCACTGTATTTAGGTATTGTTACGTACATTGCATTTCCAACTTATGAGGAAGGAACTTATCAAAAGAAAATTGACTTTAATGTAATCAAAATTACATTATTCAACTAATAGTCAGTCAATGTAGAGTAAAGTATGGTTATCTGCATTAGCTGTAGGCGATTTATAGTTTTACTGTTACAAATTATTACAATTCTTGTCATTTAGGAAAAGATAATGTTGGTATATTCACACATATCCCGGGCTATGTTACTGCAAATATTTGGTGACAGTTGCGACATGTAATTCGGGTTCATTTGGTGACAAATGCGACATGTAATTCAGGTTCATATAGCGAAGATTTAATGCCAAATCTCTCCTTTTGTCGTAATTATATGCAATCGGATAAATATAATACCCGACAACCGATTCCGGGTGTTACTTAAACATTTCCCGACCTCTATGATTGATGAACGTGTTATATTTCAATATTACTTGTTGACAAATGTTTTTTATAAACTTCTAAATACATCTTGTGTTGTCTTAGTATAAAGGGAAAACCCACCCATGTGTGCATTTAAAGGAAAGCTAATATTTGATGAATTAAAATGACAATGTTAAACATTGTACTGATTTAAGAACGAGGAACAATATTAACACTAACTACTTTTAGATATCATTATACTCATTTCACTCAACTAAATATTTTAAGATGTATGCAATTTAGTTTTGCTTCTCTTGAAAGATAAGTTAATACATATGTTGTAAATCAAAAGAGTAATTATACTTCTCTATTTCAATTAAGAAAAGCCTAATGAACCATAAAAATGTTGACAATTTACAAGTATATAAAACAGGATGTATTCTTATGATGTTAAACCCGTATCCATATCTGTATACTTTGAGATGTTACATATATCACTGAAGACATTCAAGCAACTCTCAAGAATAATAACAGCGATATACTGTCTGTTCATTTGCTTTAATATCTCATCCAACCCATAAGACTAATAACAGCAATAAACTGATTGCTCATTTGCTGTAGTATCTCATCCAACCCATAAGACTAATAACAGCACTAAACTGATTGCTCATTTGCTGTAGTATCTCATCCAACCCATAAGACTAATAACAGCAATAAACTGATTGCTCATTTGCTGTAGTATCTCATCTAAACAAATATTCCTTTTTTTCCAATGTATGACTAACACAAATGCAAAAAGCAATAAAAATACAATAAAAAAAACTTACCGTTGAGAAAGTAACAATCCCAGATCCTTGTCTCCATAGTTAATCAAATGCATGATCCCGGGGGTGAGAGACATCGGTGAGACTGTGGTAACGGGACTAACATTTGGACTAACTACTGGACTGACAACAGGACTAACTCCAGCACTGTGGAGCCCCGGGCTGGGGCTCATGGGTTGAGTCAGTGTGTATATCATCGTTTCTCCAAGCAGGGAATCCAGCGTAAAAGATTATACTGTCCGAAATAAATGAAAGTTTTCTTCTGTTCACTGGTGCCCAACTCTGTCCGTCGTACTTTTTTTCAGTTAGACGGTGATAAAACGAATAGCCTTGAGAGTTGGAATCTGTAGTGACCGTTCAATGATTTCTACGATAACAGCTGATTTAGACGTCTTGAGGTACACCGGAAAACACCTTCAGGTAAAAACGTTTAAAAGTCAAAGAAAAAGTGCAATTACACCTGTCCACATTGTTAATTTTAGTAAAATCTACTTGTCTTGTCTACCTGTAACAGGTAAAATGACATCCTTTACTGTTTGTCACAAATTTATATACCAGTCGACTAATTTATTCCCAGTCTAAACTATCATATATCAGAAAAACTTCAAATCCTATATATAAAACTTAAAATCTGACAATTGTACATGTGATTCCGTCGGTTAGCGTACCTGCGTATCAGGGTGGTTCTATGAGTAGGGGTTGGTGTTTACGCTGTAATTGGTAAACTTAAAATAAAACAAATCAAATTTTCTTCCAATCAACAGAAGACAAGACATTGGATGACAGAGTAGTTTATCTGTCTCTATTTGAACAACTTGTTCTACTTTTTAGTATTAAATTGATTTAAACGTAGATAGTATGATGACTTATTTATAAATCTTTGATGTTTATTAAAATTTATCATTTACTTTTAAGTTAGTATGAAGAGTAAGATTTAAATCGAACTAAGTATTGTACATTAAATGTTTATTTTATGTTAAACATAACACTATTTTCTGCGTTTAACAAATCTTACTGTTTACCAGTAATATTTGAGTTTAGCATCAGTATGTGTAATATTTGCCACTGGAATGTAAGTTACAAATAGTTCAGTCAATTTGGTTGAGCTATAGTTTTAGACGACCTGCAATTAATTTTGCTGTCATTTTGACCACGTATATAACTTTTATTTGAAATCAAATAATTTGTGTTCTCAAAATGGTATGAAACATGATTCAATTAATTTGGTATAACCATTGCTATATACATTGCCTCTTAGTTTATATTAAAAGATATATCTACCCACAATCGTTCTATTCTGATTAATAGCCTACGAATAAGATTTAATAAAATGAAGTTCATATTAGACAAATATTTAAAATACATAAAACGAGATTATTTAGAAAACGGACTAAGAATGGTTAAACAAAAACTCTAGGTTTACAAATCCATCGAAGCAGGTTGGTCAAAGCATATTAATTCAGCGTACTGTAACTAAGGATACAATTAGCTTAGGCAATGTTCACCTTAGACGATTTTTTTATTCAGTGTAGGTCGTCGTTTTGTAGTTTAACGCTTTCAGACATTTATTGTCGACTTCTAAAGATGTTGGTCTCGATTTTTCGTGTGCTGAAAAAAATAATAAAAATAATGTCTGTGTCGCACTTAAAGCATAAATGGTATGAAGTGTTACAAAGTTATTATGCAACTCGTATTGGTTCAGATGAATGGCAACAAACTGTGTACGTACATAACTTTTAAAATTTAGGTACGCTTTTTATTTCTTCGCATCGTAAAGCAATTAAGTTTTTTGGTTTGATCAGCTCTTCAGCATCTGTCCTATGTTTTCAAATATTTTGGCCTCGAGCATCATTGAAGAAAAACTAATTGTCGAAGTGTGTATCTGGTGCAGTAAAATTGGTACCGTTTAATTGTTTCTGGTGCGACTTAGACAGAAAAGTATGAGCGGTTTCCAGTAGATCAACTGACATGTTGTGTGTGTGATGACAAGGTCGAAACAGAGGAACTTAAATTAACGGAATGCTCGTATACAAATATTAAAGAAAAACCGTATTTAATGCTTTAGTTACTTCAAATTTTAGGTACACAATGTTGATTCAAAGAAATTGATCATTGTTTCATCAAATGACAATGTTAATGTTTTTTTTTTGTGTTCAGAAATGTGCCTAAACAACACTGTTTGAAAGTAACTGCTAATAATTTCATTTTTTTTTTTAATCAGTCTCTTTAAGTTATATTTCTATTAGAATGGTATTAATTAATTATAGGCCACCGTACGACAAAAGAAAAAAGGAAAACCCATATCGTATTATAGACTATAAAAGGCCCCAACATGAAACATGTGAAACAATTCATACGAGAAACTGACGGCCTATAATTTTTTTACAACACAAATTACGGAAAACATATATGATAGACATGAACCAATGACAACCACTGAATTACATGCTCCTGACTTGAGACAGGCACACAAAGAATGTGGCGGGGTTAAACATGTGTGTTAGTGCTCAACCATCCCCTAACCTGGGACAATGGTGTAACAGCACAATATAAGAACACACTGTAAAAATGCAGTTGCAATTGGCTTATATTAATAGATCGGAACGAGACACAAAAACCACTAACATAAAAATAGTAGACACAATGCACCGAAATAACAGACACAAAGTTCAGATCTGAGAGTACTAGCAGTTACTGACAGCTAGTTCACAGCCAATTACAACTAATAAATAAATCATGTTCTTCCAGACTATAGTGATATATTTCTAAATTAATTGTAGCTTGTTCAGAGGTCGCAATGACCTTGATTTGTAGAGTTAAATAGATCACATAATGAACTCTAAATATTTCCTTTTTTAATTATATCATTATTGTCTTTGCATACTATAGTTTATCATTTAAAAATCTTTTTATCAGTTAGAGAACGTCTCGAGGTTAAATTATTGGTACAAATATAGGAACTTAATACTGTAACTGTAGTCAAATTAGTAGTACACGTCTTGACATGTATAACTGAAAAACGTCAGCAGACGTTGATAGGTCAAACTTACTATTGTGCTTACATGTACATGTATATGTATAATTATATTAATTAATTCAAACTCATGTACATGGTCTTTGTTTCTGTTCAATTCTGAATAAGCGATTGCATTGATTAAATATCAAGAGAATATGCAGGAGACCGGTCAGACGAAAAGGAAATGTTCCCCGAGTAGATATACATATATGTAGGTGTATATACGCGTATACATACACCAAAGAACTTTATATACGATACATTTTCTATACATAGTGTGACACGATATTTGGAAACAGAAGAGATAACAGAACCAACTGAATTAAAAAAAAAACTCAAATCAAACACACCTTTATTACGCCCTCTGAACATATATTGTCTCTATTTTTATCTAAGGAAGTCAAGCTATTGTTTCCCTACATCCTATAACAGTCATATTGAAGCCGGTGATCTGTTTCTACATTTCAATAGTTGAGATGGGAACAATCCAAACATGGTTACAACCTTTATTTGTTATGTCGACCTTATTATTGACCTTTGCTAGAGACTTAAATAAAAGATATTAGTTTGTGTCCATAACAAAAGTTCACCTTTACTCTACGTTTCTATGGTTTTTATTAGTTGTTTGATTTAAAGATGTACTTAGGTGAGGTTTAGGAATTTTGTCAGATATTCGGACTCCTTGGTTTTTTTCCTACGATACAGGGTGAAATTTTTTGCTCCATAACACCCATTTTTCTTTTCAAATAAGACTTAGATAGGTCATAAAAAGTCATTCATCAAAATTAAAGCAGATTCTAGATTTATTTTCTTTCCATTTGAAACCCAAATAATACCAATGCAAATATAAGGTAAAAGTCCGAGTCAGCCTGTTCCCGCCATTTAAAAAAAAAAAAAATATCACGAAAAGGGGCTCCATAATACGGAAGCCGGTTAGTGTCAGGTTGGAGTTTTATTTTTAAGGCGTTATAACGACTAAGCTAACTTGTTATAACGACTTAGCTAAGTTGTTATAACGACTTATCATATTTATCTTGTTATAACAACTTAGCTAACTTGTTTTAAGGACTTAGCTTACTTGTTTAAACAACTTAGCTAACTCGTTAAAACGACTTAGCTAACTTGTTTAAACAACTTAGCTAACTTGTTTTAACGACTAAGCTAACTCGTTTAAACAACTTAGCTAACTCGTTTAAACAACTTAGATAACTCGTTAACACGACTTAGCTAACTTGATTAAACAACTTAGCTAACTTGTTTAAACAACTTAGCTAAGTTGTTATAACGAGATAGATTCGATAAGTTGTTATTACAAGTTAGCTAAGTTGTTTAAACCAGTTAGCTTAGTCGTTTAAACGAGTTAGCTAAGTTGTTTAAACGAGTTAGCTAAGTCGTTAAAACAAGTTAGCTAAGTCGTTATAACGACTTAAAATTAAACTCCAACCTGACACTAACCGGCTTCCGTACCATAACCTATCAATATTTTTAGCTTATTTTGTTCCCTAACTAATGCTCTTCTGACTTATAGTATTAATTTTAAATTCTATTTTTTTTTAATTTCACATAAGTACATCCTTAAGAAAATTTTTTTTCTATGAAATAACATTAACGGACGTGTGCATTTCGACAGCTAATGCAGCGAATGTTTTCTCTAACGTGATGCAAAATAATTCAAAAATCCAAAACTTATACAATACAATAAAAACTCGCAAGAAAGAAGAAGACCAACATTAAACATAGAAAAAATAATTCTGTATGCAATTAAAAAAAAAATTTGTTTTGCTTTTTGTTTTAATCAAAATTGAAAACAATTGCTCCCCCCCCCCCCCCCGCCCCTCTCCCCCCCAAAAAAAATATCATGTACCAAAAAATGATGAATGGTTCTTGCTTAACAACCGTCATTAACTTATCATTAAGTTTTGTATCCTGGCGTTAAAGGTTTGTAATATTTTAAGCGTTATGTACATGGGTACTACGACAAAAAAATCAATTGATGTTAGTAAACATAGGTAAGTATATAAGTAAGTAAGTAATTAAATTTTATCAAGTAGGCACATATGTACAGAGAAGATTCAACATGAGCTTTAGAAGTTATTGTAGGACAACTTGACTTTGAGGCCAAAAAAAGAAGAGAAAAGGAAACTCCTTACATGGGACATGTTTTTCATCTGCTAAAATTTAAAGCCTTATTTTATATCCATTCATAAATTCAAATTGCAAGACACAAAAAATATATTGATATTTGAAGAATGAAGTAAAGTGATTAAATACATATCAATTTGTGAATTTTTAAAAGATGTCTGAAATAATGTTCGCATATCAACAACTAGAGATTCATGTTGGTTTCAGTCAATGAGAACGCGACTAACCAACACCATTGTGTTATATATTCCTCTTTTGATTAGGGAGCTACCATTTGATTTTTATGAGGGGGCTAGGATGAAATTTGAAAAAAATAGGCAGGACAGGAGTTTTGAGTAAAAAAAAAAAGGGCAGGATGACAATTTAGATAAAAAAAAGTCAGAATAAACTAAAAAAAAAAAAGGCAGGACCGAATAGAGTGAAAAATAAAAAGGCAGGACAGAGATTACAGCTAAAAAAAAAATGCACAACATTTTTTTTTCATCCTAGCCTCCCTT